TTTGATTGTTATTGCAATGGTAGGACAGTTGGAGTCTTTAAACTTTGGAGGTGTGTTTGTCCTCAAAATCGAGCTTACTTGATCGGTGAGAAATACTTTCTTGTGGACATTGAGCCTCCTCTTTACCGTTCATAAGTCTTTCAAAATCTTTGCACAAGATGGAATTTGCTATATGGCTTCAAGGAATGAAATATTGATCTTTACCTGCTTAAACATTTCAAGTATATCAGCATAATTAGCCACCTTCACAGGTGACTTCAAACGATTAGGAAAAGGTGCAGCCATGGAGGAAACAAGAACATTTTTGTCAACCATTTTTTTCTTCTCAATCACCTCACTTTCTTTCTTCTCATACACCTTACTCTTGTCGGTGTCACCCATAGTGTCTTTCTCTTTTGGCCATGTGGCCTTGGGTGAGAGCTTTGACACAATGATTTTATCAATTTGCTTGCCATTACGAAGGGTGGTAACCGCCTTGAGTTGCTCACATCTCTCTCTTAAGGGCTCCAATGATTCAACGACATGTTGACCTCTAGGGTTTTCTTGAGATTGAGCGAGAAATTTTCCTTTCCCTTGTTGTGATGCCCCCATGGAGTTTGTCAATTTTGTGAGTTGGGTCCAATGTCATTAAAAGCTGTGGCATTTTGATTGTTGATGGTAGTTTGGTTTTGATTGAAGATAGTCTGGCTTTGAATGATAACATGAACCATAGCTTCCAAATTTCTCTTGTGGGGATGTTGATATGTGGGAGAATTGGATGGTTCTTGGGAAAAGTTTTGTGGAGGTGGATTTTGGGAAAAATTTTGTGCGGGTGGGGTTGATGAATACCCTTACGGATTAGTCCAGGAGTATTGGGAGATAGATGCTTGACCTTGGGATTGAAATTGATTTTGCCTAAGAGGCGCGGGAGGTGTGTATACATTTAAACCATGAGGAGTGGGATTATCATTTCTCCAACTAAAATTCGGGTGATTGCTCCAACCCAGATTGTAAGTATTTGAATGTGGAGAGAATGATTGCCTCATTTGATTAAAGACATTGACTTGTTCGTGATACACTTTCTTAAGTGCTAGAATGTTAGGGCACTCCGATATGGAATGATCTATACTCTCACAAATTGAGTAGCCCTCTTCAATTTTTGAAACATTTGACACCTTGTGTCTTCTATTTACCTCAAGACTCTCAATCTTCCTAGGCAACTTGACAATTTGGAAGGTAAGTCTTCCCGGTCCCCCAAGTCATAAATCCCTCCCCCATGAGTTTGGCTATTCCCTTGAGGAGAAGACCTTGGTACATCGGTGGAATCCGTAATATCCCATGATTATGCATTCTGTGCCCCAATTTATCAAAGTAATCTAAGGTCTCATTGGGATCTTTGTTCAAAAACTCCCCATTACGTATCATATTGATGCCCCGGTGTGATTCCTTCGTAGAAGAAGCTCACCAATTGCTATGATTCAAAGCCATGATGTGGAATGGATTGTAATAATTCCTTGTACTGATCCCAACATTGGTAGAATTGTTCATTGGATTTCTCCGANCTCCATTACACATCATGTTGATGCCCCGGTGTGATTCCTTCGTAGAAGAAGCTCACCAATTGCTATGATTCAAAGCCATGATGTGGAATGGATTGTAATAATTCCTTGTACTGATCCCAACATTGGTAGAATTGTTCATTGGATTTCTCCGAAAAGTTTTGAATTTGTTTTTTTAGAGCGGTGGTTTCATGCTCCAGAAAAAAATTGTTTAAAAACTCGGAGAGCATTTGGTTCCAAGATGTTATGAATCGAGGTCTCAAGAAATTAAGCCATATTTTTGCCTTATCTTTTAGGGAAAAGGGGAATAATTTCAGCCTAGCTATGTCTTCCATACCATAATTGGTGAGGAAGGTTGTAACTATTTCCTCGAAATTCTTTATGTGCANAATTGTTTAAAAACTCGGAGAGCATTTGGTTCCAAGATGTTATGAATCGAGGTCTCAAGAAATTAAGCCGTATTTTTGCCTTATCTTTTAGGGAAAAGGGGAATAATTTCAGCCTAGTTATGTCTTTCATACCATAATTGGTGAGGAAGGTTGTAACTATTTCCTCGAAATTCTTTATGTGCAAATAGAGGTTCTCCTTCTCAATTCCGTGGAACGTGGGGAGTAGTTGCAACATCCCCGGTTTAACTAGGAAGAAATGATCTTGGACTGAAAGGAGGATGCATGAGGGTGTGGTGCTTCGTGTGGGTTGAAGGAAATCCCTCATTGACCTCGTCGGAGGCTCAATGTGAATGTTGTTCCCTTTATTCACGGAAGAGGGAAATTGCATTCTCGGATTGGGCATTCTAGGTTCTTGTCCTTCCCCTCCCTGTTGCATGCTTGGATTGACACCTATATTCTCAAAATTATCAATCGCATCCTCGGGTGGGTCTTGGTCAATGTTCATATTGAGGCCCAAGGGTTGTCTAACTAGTCGGTTTTGTTCGTTCCTTATCCACATATAACAAACTAACTAAAAATAAAGAATGTAAACAAACAAAAGTATATATAAGGATCAATGTACCTCAGCTCATGATGAACATCACAGGACTTACCTCCGTTGTCTGGAAATCACCTTCTTGATTCAACACTTGCCTTCCCCGTCAATAGCGTAAAAAATGCTTATTTGTTTCCGTTGGTAGTATATCTTAACCTCCGAACATTATCCCTCAATGCGTATAATCTATGTGTAGAGGGGAGTGTCACTTTCCCTTAGAATGATGTCAAAAGAAAGGACAACGGAATGATGGGTGAATGAAATGTGTGTATGAACAAAAATGCTCCCTAAGTGTAGAGGGANTTCTGATTCAACACTTGCCTTTCCCATCAATAGCGTAAAAAATGCTTATTTGTTTCCGTCGGTAGTATATCTTAAACTCCGAATATCATTCCTCAATGCATATAATCTATGTGTAGAGGGGAGTGTCACTTTCCCTTAGAATGATGTCAAAAGAAAGGACAACGGAATGATGGGTGAATGAAATGTGTGTATGAACAAAAATGCTCCCTAAGTGTAGAGGGACTTTTGCTTGTTGTGTTTTACTTGAAATTATATTCCAAGGTCGTCTCCTCAGGGAAGGAGGTGCATCATCATGAAAGTGATTTTTATAAAAATAAAGTGTAAAATTTTTTGTTGGTGTTTTAATGTAAGTAGTGATAGAGACCAAAATGACTGGAACTCTTGAGATTTAAAGTGATGATTTTTTACAGATTTTTCCTAGGCCGAATATACAATTCTTTCCAAGAGGATTTTCTAGACAAAATATAAGATAATTTCAAATGTAAAAAGTCACTCTTTTGTTCGACGATCTGGATATATAGTCAACCATCCGGTTTATTATACTTGTGCTTGGGAACACAATTAATCACCATGTTAACATGAAGTTAATCAGAAGATAAAGATGGACTGTGATGATTAATAACATGGTTCCGATGTCTTTGTAGAAGTTTACAAGAATTGTCTGTGCCGAGATTCAATCCGTATATAAACAAACAAGTGTTTCTACAAGACATTCAATTATTGCATTAGTTTTTCATTCTTTAAATGAANACCCGTCTATAAACAAGCAAGTGTTTCTACAAGACATTCAATTATTGCATTAGTTTTTCATTCTTTAAATGAAGCACAATAATGGTGAAGATTGAAGGTTAGGTATGAAGATCTAGTCGAGGTACTTGCCTTGAACCAATGAATCTTTCTATGCAAGAGTCATCTGTGTTATAGAAAGTACTCACAGTTATACAAAATACCTTAGCTTTGCTAGATGCATTCAATCATTTAATAAGCAAGCGAAATATAAAGCATTAAGTATAGATTAAATACACAAATATGACTTTTGGATGATTTATACATGTTCATCACCTCTTACTAAAGAGTGAATGAGAAACTACTCACTCTTCATGGCTTTGGTAAAGTTAGAAAAGTGGGTGATGCTCATCTCTCAAAGTAGAGAAGTTACAAGGTAAAACACATTNGTATTAAGTATAAACGAAATACACAAATATAACTTTTGGATGATTTATACATGTTCATCACCTCTTACTAAAGAGTGAATGAGAAACTACTCACTCTTCATGGCTTTGGTAAAGTTAGAAAAGTGGGTGATGCTCATCTCTCAAAGTAGAGAAGTTACAAGGTAAAACACATTACACAAAGAGCTGATCTTCGACAAAGAATGAATGAATCACATTCCAACCTTCACAGTTTTGATAAAGCTCTTGAAAAATGGAAGAGTTTCACTCCTCTAAGGGAAGAAGGAAACTCAAACAATGGAAGTAAAATAAAATAATAATATAGTAAAAGAAAACAATACTTAAAGTAAAGGAAAACAATAAATTAAAAGAAAGCAATAATATAATAAAAGACAACAATAATTAAATTAAAAGAAAACAATAAATTAAAAAAAAGCAATAATTACTTTTAGAGGATTTTTCACTACCAAAAGATGGAGATTTACAAGCCCTAAGGGGTGGTATTTATTGGCAAAAAAGGAGGGCTTGAATTACACTTTGATCCCCCTTTGTTTTGAGGTTTGATAATTTGCACGCCAGTAGTTTGTAGCTTTGATAATTGACTCCCTAGTAGTTTATAGCTTTGACGCACAAAATCCTGAAAAGAACAACAATTAATGCATTATCCCTAATTCACACACTAATCCTAATTTGACTAGTTTAATTTTGTTTAACTAATACAATTGACCTATTAACTTAATTAAATTATGCATTAATTAGGGTTAATCACTAATAATGACAATATTTGTGGTTCTCATGTTCAGGTTAAGGATTATTTTTGTGACGTCATCTTTTCCTGGGATAGAGAGGGCCTGTTTTTTTCGGAAAGTAATAGAGAGGGTCTGTTTGTTACAGCTTTTCCTGTGTTTTTTTGTAGATGTCACGAAATCACCATATTGTTTTTGCAAAACTCTGGTGGTCTGAATGTAGTTAATCCTATAATTTGCATGGCTGTGATTTTGAGCGGTGGTACAACCTTTAAACACCCAGGCACTATTCTTTTAAATCCTACAGTCAGCCAGTGGGTTTGCTCATTGAGTGTACCCTGAGATAAATTAAACTGGCATGAGTAAGCCATATTAGGGTTGACAGATGTTCACTTGTGTAAGTAAACGTATTTGCAATGCTGTCAACCGCAATTTTTGACTGACGTGTGGATTATCTGGCAATTACATTTCTCAGTGATCTTTATGAAGGAACACGGATGGCCAGGGTGGCAGATATTCCCGCAATAAAACAAATTATACAGCCTTTGGAAGAATCTGGCATTTTAGTCAGGAGGACTGATGCAGAGGTTTTCACTCATTCTATACTATGTACTTTTGTTCATGTCATAATGTTTCTGGTTCAGTCACCATTAATTAGTACTTGTTTTATGTTCCCAGGTACTTGAAGCACTGGAATCATTCACTGTTGTGGAGAGAGAGGGTCATATCATTGGGTGTGCTGCTCTCTTTCCTTTTGAAAAGGAAAAGTGTGGAGAGGTCGCTGCAATTGCTGTTTCTCCTGAATGCCGTGGAGAAGGACAGGGGGACAAATTACTTGGTACAATAGCGAATAACTTAATATTTTAGTGTTTGTGTTACAATCTTAGTTCGTCAGATACTGATTATTGTAGATTGAGACCTTTTGGTGATTCATTGTTTTCCTTTTTCTTGTTATAATTGAATGTGAAAGAATATGAATATTTGGAAGTAGGTGTAATTATAAGGAGCCATCAGAATTTTGAAGGTGTAAAGGGATAATAACATTTCATATTTGACTTACCAAAAGGAATAGAGATATCTTTTGCATTCAGTTTTCCAGTTGAAGTTTTGTTTTCTGCCTTTAAGGAACATTGCAGCAAATTCAAATTTGTAAAAAGTTGGGGAGCCAAGATGTGCATAGAAAGGGGGACAGATGAGCTGAGCAATGACTTAGAACAGCAAGATCCTGTATTCTACATAGTCTTCTCAGCTTTCCTTTATTTCACGTAATTGAGGATAAATCATGTGCTTCTATAACAAAATCTGAGTTTCTACTTGAAGGTTTAGGCAATACTTTTGAAATTAGTATTAAAACAATATTCAGTTAGCAATGAGAGGGCAGGTGAATATAATTTTAAAGTTCTTTTTGGCCTGTAATCAATGCAGCTATATCAATTTTGAGTCAGAGGCACACATTTTTGCAGCTTTTGCATGTTTCTGGGAATAGACGACCTTGCTGGCTGTCCTTATGAACTTCTTCACTTCATTTGAATAATCATTTGACGATAAATTATTTGCAGATTACATTGAGAAGAAGGCTTCATCCCTTGGACTTCAAATGCTTTTCCTGCTTACAACCCGCACTGCAGATTGGTATTATTTTACCTATTTCTGCTTTGTCTTATTTTCAAATTCTGATAACTGGCATGTATATTTGTTTCCATTTTTGGCAAGTTTAAACTTTCTTGTTGACTAGACATATTGTGAATTTCATGTGATTTATCGATGGAACAAACATGAATAAAGCAACTGATTGTGCCAAAATGTCTAACCATTTGACTGCATATTGCAACCATTAGGAGCAACAGGCAGCAGATGTGTGTTCTTTTTTAACAGTAGCAGATAGCAAGTACAGCTTTGGTTTTAAGTCTGTTTCTTTGTGGGTTGGACTATATGCCCACATCTTCATTCCTTCCCATGTATTGCTTTATTTTTTTATCAGTAAAGATGTTTGTCTCTCATAAAATAAAAAAAAGTTACTATAAGTGAAAAAAGGTACACCCCCTGGACCTTATTTCTTTTGTTATTCCCGCCTTTTGTGTGTTCATTGTGTGATGGGTATTATGTTGACTTTTTTGTCATTGGTTGAACAATGCCAAGAAAAAGGGCTGTTTTCATGATAATATTGTAATAACATTAAAAAAAAATATTTAAGGATGGTAGTTTCATTCACTATTTTCCTGCATTTCACATTCGTGATTCTGTGCGCAATGGAAAAGAAATTAAGAAACTTCCATCTGGTGTGCCAGCATTACATGAATGGGGAGTCCAAAACATGGCATCTTTTGGTATTTTAGTGCTCTGTACAATTGATCTCACTCTCTGCTTGACAGGTTTGTTAGGCGTGGATTTACCGAGTGTTCCATTGACTCCATACCAGAGGAGAGAAGGAAAAAAATCAATCTATCCCGTAGATCAAAATATTATACAAAGCAGCTGCCACCTGACTCGAGTGGAATTCGTTTCAATAGGGTGTATTCTTGAGCTTACACTACTGGCAATGTCTACATCTTCTCTCAGTGACTCCGCAGCAAGGGTTGAGTAAATGGTTCCAACCCTATCTTATGGTAAATGTTTCATTGCAAAAATAGTAGGAAGTGGCTCATGTTTTTAGCTTCTACTTGGGAGATTGGTTTTGCTTTGTTGAAATCATGGAACCAATGGTTTCTGTCTTCATCAAGCTTGTCAATCATTCAACGTGAATGTAAATCAAGAATTCAACCCAAAATAATGAATGCCTTAAAAACCAAAACCTTTTGACCTGTTGCCCATGTTTAGCGTTTGGACTTTAGATTATCGTGTGATTCTTTCCATCTCACCTTAAGGAAATAAAGTATATATACTTAATTAACTTTGACAATGCTTTAAGAGTCCGGTTCAAGATGTGGTTTTGCACAAACTAATTGTCAGAATGCAGGGTAGATAGTATGGTACTGCACTGGGAACTCATGTTACTTCCCCAGTACATTTGAAGGCGGAGATAACCAGGAGAGAAGGGCATGCATGTGCCAACGCAGGAATGATGGGGTTCAATTCTGTTTCTCGGTTTTGTGCCAATGCTATGAATCGAACCCACAACACCATCCATCACAACGCATGACAACTGTGGTACAATACNATAACCAGGAGAGAAGGGCATGCATGTGCCAACGCAGGAATGATGGGGTTCAATTCTGTTTCTCGGTTTTGTGCCAAAGCTATGAATCGAACCCACAACACCATCCATCACAACGCATGACAACTGTGGTACAATACCTTTGATATTCTGTTTTCATAGTCATAGGAATTCAAGAAAAAACGTAAATATTTCCCGTGCATTGGAGGATAAATGCCTGCTAATTTAATCGTACGTGAAATGAGACAAAGAAAAAGTACACTGCCACAGTTTAACTTACTAAAATCAAGGAGCCTGTTCGAGAGAGTTGTCTTCAATGGAACCTCACCGTTGCTAGTTGTAGAAAAAGTGCAACAAAGAAAATGCACATTGCATAGGATGACCTCTGCCTTGAGTATACCTAGAAGTTGATCTTCTCAAGGAAAATTTTCCAAATCATCTCTGGATTGGATCTACTGTGTATGGATCACTAGTAATAATTTGAATACTATAGTTCTGTATGCATTTCCAATGACAAGGTCATGTNGACCTCTGCCTTGAGTATACCTAGAAGTTGATCTTCTCAAGGAAAATTTTCCAAATCGTCCCTGGATTGGATCTACTGTGTATGGATCACTAGTAATAATTTGAATACTATAGTTCTGTATGCATTTCCAATGACAAGGTCATGCCCGTCACCGAGAATGGCTTAAGTTCCAAGAACCAATGTTACCAATACGGTCAGCAACCTACCACGGAAACAAGAAACAAGAAAGGCAAGATATGAATCAGTTTTCCTCTGTTTTTAGGAGGCCCTTCCACTTGAAGTTGTCTGCGTATGCCTTGACCTGCAACCGGAACAAAAGTGATTCAGGCAATCGAAGTTATCATGGTTACATAAAATAAATAAATAAATAAATAAATAAATACATAAGACATAGCAGTACAAAGGCNGGAACAAAAGTGATTCAGGCAATCGAAGTTATCATGGTTACATAAAATAAATAAATACATAAGACATAGCAGTACAAAGGCCAATGGAACCAAATAGGCATACAAAATTAAAGGAAATTACAACCATTGATGTGTGATGTTTGCAATTTCAAATTGCCACTAATAAAAATGGCTAAAAATAAATGAGTGTGCTATATGTCCGATCCACAAAACATGATATGCCACTACCAGGTAACTAAAGGAAAATCCATGGCATATGCCAGAATGAATGGGTAAAGGACTATAGTGACAAAGGTTACTCCAAAACCACAAAAGAAGCCTCAGCCGGAGATGATTGGGTGACTCACTTTTTGGAGAGGGTGGCTACAAAGTAAAAATGAATAATGTATATGATTAAGTCAGGCTATCCAGCACAAGGCTGCATGCTCATCCCTAATCAACAACCAACAGTCATTGCAAATGCAACAGAAGCTTGAGAAAATTTTCAATCCTTAGAGCCATCTAAACAATCATCCAAATTCCAGATTGCAATTGANTTTTTTTATCAGTAAAGATGTTTGTCTCTCATAAAATAAAAAAAAGTTACTATAAGTGAAAAAAGGTACACCCCCCTGGACCTTATTTCTTTTGTTATTCCCGCCTTTTGTGTGTTCATTGTGTGATGGGTATTATGTTTACTTTTTTGTCATTGGTTGAACAATGCCAAGAAAAAGGGCTGTTTTCATGATAATATTGTAATAACATTAAAAAAAAAAATTTATNACTAGTAATAATTTGAATACTATAGTTCTGTATGCATTTCCAATGACAAGGTCATGTCCGTCACCGAGAATGGCTTAAGTTCCAAGAACCAATGTTACCAATACGGTCAGCAACCTACCACGGAAACAAGAAACAAGAAAGGCAAGATATGAATCAGTTTTCCTCTGTTTTCAGGGGGCCCTTCCACTTGAAGTTGTCTGCGTATGCCTTGACCTGCAACCGGAACAAAAGTGATTCAGGCAATCGAAGTTATCATGGTTACATAAAATAAATAAATAAATAAATAAATAAATACATAAGACATAGCAGTACAAAGGCCAATGGAACCAAATAGGCATACAAAATTAAAGGAAATTACAACCATTGATGTGTGATGTTTGCAATTTCAAATTGCCACTAATAAAAATGGCTAAAAATAAATGAGTGTGCTATATGTCCGATCCACAAAACATGATATGCCACTACCAGGTAACTAAAGGAAAATCCATGGCATATGCCAGAATGAATGGGTAAAGGACTATAGTGACAAAGGTTACTCCAAAACCACAAAAGAAGCCTCAGCCGGAGATGATTGGGTGACTCACTTTTTGGAGAGGGTGGCTACAAAGTAAAAATGAATAATGTATATGATTAAGTCAGGCTATCCAGCACAAGGCTGCATGCTCATCCCTAATCAACAACCAACAGTCATTGCAAATGCAACAGAAGCTTGAGAAAATTTTCAATCCTTAGAGCCATCTAAACAATCATCCAAATTCCAGATTGCAATTGAAGAACAGGCCAAAAATATCACCAAAAATCTGCATTAGCTTTCATGCCAATAACTAAAGAGGAGACCCAAACCTTCAACATTGGCGCCTGGTGCTTCCTATTCTANCATCTAAACAATCATCCAAATTCCAGATTGCAATTGAAGAACAGGCCAAAAATATCACCAAAAATCTGCATTAGCTTTCATGCCAATAACTATGGAGACCCAAACCTTCAACATTGGCGCCTGGTGCTTCCTATTCTACAATTAAGAAATGTACGGTAAGATCTAAGTAGATATTGAAAACCAAAGTAACACGAGTAACACATTCATTACAGTTAAGTAGCTTCTTCATATTATGCTCGGGTAGGGGTGTTCAAATTTCTTCTTACCTGACTTATTTCGACTCTGCTCGATTGATCGACTTCTGCAAAATATTGGCCTACTAATGGAAGAATTTTTGATATTCTACAAAATATCGGGTAAAAATACAAAATACCCACAAAAATTTTGTCTTCGTACACCGCATGAATCTTACATTTAAAAAAAATTATATATATGTTGTGTTTTATTACAATTGTTTATGTATAGCGTTTTATACTTTTAGAGAACATATTATCGGAATTTTCTTTAGTGTTATTGATTTAGTGTATTGGTTTACATATTATTATATTATATTTTAACAGCATAATTGTAAAAGTAACTCAAAAATTACTTAATTGATTTGTTAAAATGATCTAAAAATTAATAAGTAAAAAATTATAAATATGTAATATATTCTGCAACCCTACCCGAATTCTAAGCCGATTGTTTGAAGAGAATCAGCGGGAGCTTTCAGTTTCAACTCCTAAATTACCTGAAGGTTCCGCTCTAGCCGTAGCATCAAATACCAATAGTTAGAATATCAAATCAGGGATGGGCTCCAATGGCTCACCTTTCCAGCACAATAGATCTGGTTCTAATCAAGCACCAAGTCGAAGTGGATTTAAGCATCGCCAGCGAACTCGTTCTGATCATTATGGTCGAGAAGGCCACACTGCTGCCAAGTGTTACAAGCTACATGAACACCCACCGCATTCAAACGATGGTACATCCAGTATGCCACGCTCTCAACCACATGGTTTAGTTGCTTCATCTGAAAAATACATGTTTCCTTCTCCATCCTCGACACCCATACCCATTGGCGATCAGTCTTCTTCATTGCTAGCAACACCCATAAGTCAAGAACAAAATAATCATATTTTGGCCATTTTACAGCAAGGTAGAAATGAACCGTCAACCAATTTTGTAGGTATTGCTCTGACCTCTTTTCAGAATAACTCTTGGATTATTGACAGTGGAGCCACGAACGACAAGTGCTCCACACCTCGGCTGCTTCATACTATGTCGCCAAATACAGCTCTTTCTAATGTTCAAATGTCAAATGGTTCACCTGCACCCATAACTCAAATTGGTGTCACTTCCATTAATTCATCCCTGCATTATTCCCAACCGTTGTCTTTTTCAGGACCTCAGCACCAAGAGAACGATTGGAGTGGGTAGTTGCTGGAACGGCCTTTATCATTCACATCCTTCCACCAGTCTTCATACCAGTGTGAAGCCAACCTTTGACATTTCGCACTGGCACTTTGGACACCCGTCTGCTGATCAGTCAAGTTCTATTTCTGCATTGAATTCATCTGTCTTTTTCCAACATTTTTCCTTGTGATGTATGTCCATTAGGAAAACATGTCAGATCTCCATTTCCTTCCAGTACTAAAAAGATTATTTTTCCGTTTGAGTTAATTCATTTTGATATTTGGCGAAGTTTCACTATTCCTAGCAATTCTCTTTCTCATTATTTTTTGACAATAGTTGATGATTTTAGTTGTTGTACTTGGGTGTTTTTGATGAAATACAAATCAGAAACTCAATCACTGTCAAAATCCTTTCGTGCACTTATTACCAATCAATATAACACTCGGGTAAAAAGGGTGCAAACTGA